GGGGGAGGTGGGTTCGAGGTCAAGACTATAATCAGGGAGGCTGTGGTGGTGTGAGAAGTGATCACAGCTTTATCATAACAGTGGGCATGAGTAAAGGTGCCATCAAAAGCTCTCAGAAAGTACCACCTGCATTTGGCGGTTGGATTGGAAGGGGTAAGGAGGAGATGAGGGAGGTTCTAGGTTTCTAGCCTGGGCGCCTGAATGGATAAGGATACTGTTTAAACTTTGATAGTGATTGTTGGAATAAGAGTAGGTTTAGGGGCAAATAAAATTAAGTTTGAATTGTCAGCTTGAAGAGTGCTTATCGGGGTGATGTTTTCCAGGGGGCTATGGGATATAAGGGCTTAGGATTCAGGAGAAAGACTAGCAGGGACAGAGGGAGAGAATTCCCAGTCACTAGGGTCTAGGTGGCTATTGAAGCCATGGGCTTGGACGTCATTGCCTAAGGAAGAGAGATTTCATCATAATTTCTTAGATCAGTCCATCAGAAGATGGGGTGAGGGGGCTTCAACCTAAAGAAAGTCATTAATCTAAGAGATGCTTAAGGGATGTGTCAGGACATCAGGACACTCCTTCTCCTGAAACACCCGTAGAAGAAGTAGAAGAGCTGTAAAAGGGTCGAGAACCATCTTCCAGAGTTTTCTGTGTTCCTTTCTAGCAGTGAGCAGTTGGGCAGATGAGGTATCTGCCCCAACCCTCCTTCTAAGGAACATTACCAGTTGCCCAAGTGTTTTCTTGAATCCCTCATCACGGCAGATGTGCAGGAAAGCTTATTTTGTTACTGTTTTTGAAAGATGAGAATGTTTTGGGCACAGAACTCTTCAACTTCAAAGTCTAGGATGAAAATGTTGCCCAAGTACCAATAGCCCATTTTTGTTAGCGCTGAAGTGAAAATTAGGATGTGCAAGATAGAGATTCGGATTGTGCCATGTTCCCGCTGTTCCCAGGCAATTGTTTCCTGAGGTCACAGGATGAACCAGGACTAGAGGTAGGAATGTCTTTGAAGCCCATGAGCCAGGCAGCGAGCCAGGCTGTGGGGCTTAATGTATTCCTTCCCTGGGTCCAGGTTTCCTCTGGTGCCAGCTGACCCTGAGGGCGCTCCCCTAGCCCATCTCCCAGGGCCACTGCAATCCTTCTTGTGTTCGTGGCAAACAAGGTTAGCATGTGGGAGCCTTCTGTGGTTCTGAAGCCTCCTTGTCTCTTTTCTTCCTGTGCAGGACGCCTGTCCCCCCAGGCACCATCTTCTTTCCTCTGGTGCAAACGGAAAGCCATGTCTGTTGACCATTCCTCTTTGAAGTTTTGAATTGCACTGAAATATTTATAATGTATAGACAAACACTCACAAAGGGTTTTAGTTTCCACAAGCCATATCTCTTGACTAACTGGGGCCTTTTAAAAAAAATGTTTGTTTATTTTGATAGAGAGAGCACAAGTGGGGGGAAGGCAGAGAGAGAGAGAATTTCAAGCATGCTGTCAGCACAGAGCTCCGTCTCACAACCGTGAGATCATGACCTGAGCCAAAATCAAGAGTCGGATGCTTAACTGACTGAGCCACCCAGGCGCCCCGACTAAGTGAGGTCTTTTGCTGATAAGAAGGCACATAGAGTCTCCGATCAAGGGTTGCTTAATTTAGGGAGCAATTGACATCATCCAGCAATTGTATACTTGTTATACAATCTCCACTTTCCTCTGGATGAGACAGCCATGGCTCTTTGCTGCTTCTTGGGGTCTGTGGTCATGTTCATTGTACTGACTGATGGTGGGCTTTACTGCAGTTCTCACTGCTGGTTATTTGATACCTCCGGAACCAGATGGGGAGCGCTGAAATTCTGTGTGTCCCATGTCTGTTGATTGGTCCTGGACTGGAGGTGGCAGCAAAGGGTCGTGGCATCCAGGAACCAAGAAGGCCCCCTGGACTCTGAACTTGTGGAAGACAGGAATTGTTTTCACGCATCCTGAGGTCCTCAGCCTAGTGCAGGGCATGGCTAACGTATGTTATTTGTTAACTGTTAGAAGCTGAGAGGCAAAGGAGCAATAGGGCTGAGTAAAGAAGGTACTACTTCAAGGGAGGGCACTAAAAACCAAGAAGAGGGGCACCTGGGTGGCTTAGTCTCTTGGGCCTCTGACTCCTGGTTTCAGCTCAGGTCATGGTCTCACGGTTCGTGAGATCATGCCCCACATTGGGCTCTGCGCTGACAGCGTGGAGCCTGCTTGAGATCCCCTCTCTCTGTCCCTCCCACTCACGCACTCTCTCTCAAAATAAATATTTAAAAAAAAAAGAAGAAAAGAGAAAAGGCCATTTCTGGAGCATGGACGTGTCCCCTCTGCCCGAGCTGCAGATGTCAGACCCAAATCCAGATTCCACAGGGAGTGAAAATAGACTGTGATGTGTGGACAGGACAGGACTTCTATCTGCTTCCTCACTGTGACACTTCTTCCTGACGATTGGGTTAACAGAAACATTCTAAATCAGCCATTCACTTGGGGCTTCTTGAAACCAAATAGTTTGGTGCCTTGAAAGCATAAGCCATGGGTCGTGGATTGCTTTTGAATGCCCGTCTCAGATTTCTTATGATTTCTTACGTGTCTCTGGTTATGTAGTAGAATGTGGGGATAAATAAATGACTGCTGAAACACGAAAGGATAAAATACGGTGTGGTCATTTAAAAAATCACATTTTCAAATGACATGTGTTGGTAAGAGAAAATTCTCATTTTGTAATGTTCTGTGAAAAAGCAGAAAACTATCTTGGGGGCTCAAATACACTTCTTTTGAATAAATGACTATTTCCTAGATGAATGAGGTGAAAACGGCAAAAAAACTAGGTGTCCATTGATGAATATGGCTTTTTGGCTCTGAAAAGCATGAACTAGGGGTAGTTCAAGCTACTACCTCTTTGGAGCTTAGTTTTCTTATCTGAATGCTGAAGTGGCAGTCTGTTTCCAGAATGGTCTCTGAGGGGCCCCTTTGGCCACTTGGGGTCCCACATGCTCCGAGTTGTGATTTGACTGTGGACAAAGCAGCTGTCGCCGAGAGAGATGCCACCAGGCAAGGTTTCATATGGTTCGCATCACTTTGTCAACCAGACTTGATCAACCTTGACCTCCTACTATTTCCCATCATTTTATGTGACTGTCTTGAGTTTCCGCCTCCTGGACCACTCCTTGCTGCTGCTGTGGAAAGGGGCCTCTTGATTTATTAATCAATTAATCAGCGCCTGTTGAGGAGCTATTCAGGGTAGTTTAACAGGGAAAACAAAATGCTATAGCGCATAATCAAGATGGATCGTAATTAAGAACTGCCTTCCCACTGCCCATCTTCCTGCCCACGCTGATGGCCCCACACTCCTCTCTTGCCCACAGCTCATCAAACCCCGTTCAGCCCTGGGGGGTTTCCCTGCCCCATGAAAACTGACAGTAAGTTCCAGAAGGGCAGACTTTCTTCTAACGTTGTAGAGGAAAATAAGCCTCATCAATTATTTGCAGAAAATGTAGGATCTCGAAAGTTCAATCAGGCCCCCAAAATGACATACAGCTCTGTCCAAATATACACATACACACTGTCTTGTCCCAGTTTCTCTATGGCCAGAGTCATGGAGCTGGAAGGATCTCACAGCAAGGATCGGCCATGGCCTCGTGTGACGGATGAGAGGCTCAGTGAGGCCAATTAGCATGTCCAAGGTCACACAGCTAGTTAGTAGAACTGGAATTAGAACTCAAATATTCTGGTAAACAGTTAACACCCCTGGTGATTATTTCTCTGTGAAATCCTGTTTTCCTATAAAAATAAACATAAAGTGAATGAAAGAAATCATCCTCATGAACTTCATTTTCTGATTTCTTTAAACGTTTATTTTGAGAGAGAGAGAACATGAGTACATGCACAAGTTAGGAGAGGGGCAGAGAGAGAGGGAGAGAAAATCCCAAGCAGGCTCTGCGCTGTCAGCACAGAGCCTGATGTGGTGCTCGATCTCATGGACCATGAGATCATGACCTGAGTGGAATCAAGAGTCAGACATTCCACCGACTAAGCCACCCAGGTGCCCCTGATTTCTTTTAGGTAAGGGTTTCTGAGCTAAAGAGTTTTGAATAGTACTTTTATTTATTTATTTTTTTTAATTTTTTTTTGAATGTTTTATTTATTTCTAGGAGACACAGCGTGAGCAGGGGAGGGTCAGAGAAAGAGGGAGTCACAGACTGAAACAGGCTCCAGGCTCTGAGCTGGCAGTCAGCACAGAGCCCGACGCGGGGCACGAACCCACGAACCGCGAGATCATGACCTAAGCGAAAGTCGGATGCTTAACCGACTAAGCCACCCAGGCGCCCCTGAATAGTACTTTTAGACCATGTTTGTGGGGAAAGTATCTTGGACTGTTTGTCATGGAGGTATTTTTCTTCGAATTGGGCAGGATACCAGACACATGTATCCAGCTTGCCACAGATCAAATGGTCAGTGGTGAATCTGCAGGGGTTGCTGGACAGGTGGAGCTGGCTGGGTCACTCTCTGGTCCAGAACCTGTTTGGTTTGATTTTCTTCCAATGGCACTTAGCACATAGCACTAATGAGGCCAAGACTTTCTTAGAATAGAATCTCCATCGATCACTGAAGTTCCATGGGCTACAGGAAGCCAGAGACCACAGGCATCAGTCCAGGCTGACTGCACTCACCCCTCACTCCCTACAATTCTTTAGTGGACACAAGGAGAAGAATCTGGAATGTCCTTCTTTGGCTATCTTGGTGACGAGGATGCTTAGAAATCTTTTTTTTTTTTTTTTTAATTATCCCTTCATGTCCTCAACCATAATAATCTTGTGTTTATCAAAGGTGTTTGTCCATTAGAGGTTTTTCTGCCAGCCCAGCTGCTCATGTCTATTTGATGCCATCAGACAGTCAAGCCCTGAATACGTCTGGGGCTTAAGTCCTACGCCGACATCTGAATTGCTCTTTACTAGCCTTGAGTTACAGATTCTCCTGTTTTGTTTTGCTTGTGTGTTCTCCAGGACCCTGCTTTCTCGGCTGTGATTCACGACAAGCTCCAGGTCCCCAACACCATTCGCAAGGCGTGGAATGACAAGGACAACCGCTGTGACATTTGTGCCACACACCTGAACCAGCTGAAGCAGGAGGCCATCCAGATGGTGCTGACCTTGGAACAGGCAGCCGGCAGCGAGCATTATGATGGCTCGCCTGGCTCGCCCCCCGCCCTCTCCAACATGCCCATGCTGGTGGGGTCCCGGCACACAGCTGGGCTGCAGCAGCCCAGAGATTGGGCCTTTGTGCCTGCCTCCTATGCCTCCTCCAACTACATGGCTTTCGTCACCAATAAGCACAGCGGCAAACCCAACAGCCTTGGGGTCAGCAATGGGGCAGAGAAGAAGAGTGGGTCCCCAACCCACCAGGCCAAGGTCAGCCTTCAGATGGCCACCAGTCCCAGCAACGGGAACATCCTCAACTCTGTGGCCATTCAGGCTCACCAGTACCTGGATGGCACCTGGTCCCTGTCGAGAACCAACGGGGTCACCCTGTACCCATACCAGGTAAGTAGCCTCTGAATAAGTTGGAATAGGGTTGGTTGGAGTCCAAGCCCAGAAGTGGGTAGCGCTTCCTATCTTTGCCCTTTCCTTCCAGGGACTCCCCAACTTGGAGCCCAGTGTTTCCACGTGGGCCCCCTGGCCATTGCTAAATAAAGACGAAATATTTGAGGGGCCAGTGATCCATGGTAGTGCTCTGCTCCCACTGTCTGGACCTTCTAAAAAAGGTGTAGGCTCCCTTCCTCACCTCTTCTGCCTTGTTGGACCATAACCTTTTTCTATTTGCAGCTCACTTTAAATACTTGGGGTTAGGTTACTGAAAGTGTCTTCCCGTTTTCTTATTTTCTCTTTTTCAGTTCTTTAAATTAGCACATACTCCTGAGTTTCCCTCTAGAAATTAAGGGAACAGGTCCTAAATCTGCCAAGGAATCGTAAAACATTGTCTTAACTTTTCTTGGGTGAATTTTCTGTTGGGTGAGGGTTGGGTTTACCATATGTGTTCTCTGTGTCCCCTGAGTTGATCATGTGGGAAGCAGCAGAAAGCATTGACAGTCACTGCGGATTGGAGGGGTGGCCACGGTCATAGAGTGTATTAGTCAGGGAAGCTTACTGGTGTAACAAATGATCTCAGGTTATTTCTTACTCATGGCTCTGGTGTATTGGGTGTATTTGGTGCCTGGCCACTCATTTCCATGTTACCATTTTCCAGGGGGCCTCAGAGTCTGCCACCAGATCTTGCATAAGCAGCCAGGGATTGAGGGAAGAGAGGGATTGTGGAGAATCTCACAGGGAGACTTGCGGGACCCAGCCTGGAAGGGGCATAGGTAACTTCCATCCACATTCTAGTGGCAAGAATCCAGGCATTTGGCCTCCCCTCCCCTCAGCGGAGGTGGAGAAAGCCAATCTGACCATGTTCCCCAGAGGAAAAAAAGAAACAAGTTGAGAGAACAAACAGCATAGTTTTGTTACGTGGGGGCAAAGGCGCGGGGGAACGTAAAGTGAGTTAAATGTGGCTGATCAAATTCCTGGTGACTTTTCTAGAGTGGAAGAGGGAGTGTAGATGGCTTGTCTTGATATCTTGAAGGAAAGTGAGGAGCCTGGATCCTTATCTTAAGTTAGTATTCTTGGATCACCAGACTGCCATTTACTGGGTGCTCTGAAGTTTACAAAATATGGTGGGTGCATCATTTCATTTAACCTCACAGGAGGCCTGTGAGCAGGCAGGACAGATGTTAGATCTTCCTTTTACAGATGGGGAGCACAGTACTTGGAGAAGTCGAATGACCTGCGGCCACACAGTTGGTGACAGAGTGGCGAACACAGGCTCACCACTTCCGACTCCCCCCAGCTTTACCCCAGAGCAGGGTCCTTTCGCCATCTTTCCCAGACATGGCTCCTTTTCTGACTCCGCATACCAAGGAAAATCACTGTTGTATTGCAGTGGCCTATTTGCCCCTTTACTTTTGGGTGGAATTTTCTGGATTGTGAGTATAAAAAATCTGATGCTGAGCCAACAGCCCCCTGGACAGAGCTTTATCGTCTAACGCTTGAACATAACCAGGAAAGGCACAGACAGAATAGCCTCTTTCCGCGGTTGAGTAACATGCCTTTTCTGTTAGAGATTTTAAATATATGATTTTGAAAACTAATAAAAAGTAATACATTTCCTGTAAAATAACACACCAAAAACCCAAGCAAGTATAAATAAGACTTTAAATATCAACGTCGCCAAGAAAGGGACTATAGAACAGTTGGGTATGTTTCCACCTGGGATTTTATCCGAACACAACTGATACAGTTGTGATTATGTTTAATTCTGTGATCTGCTTTTCACTTTGTATTACTGGGTGCATTTTCCCATGCCATTATGTGTTTCTCCTAAGAGAGGGTCTTTAATGGTAGCATAGTATGCCATTATATAAATATGATCCATTATCTGAGGGTGGCCTAATTCGTATAACGAAGCACCAATTACTTGAGGTTCGGTTTTCGCTACTATAAATAAAATGCTTGCACATTCTTCTTCCCAGGTCACATTTTCAACACACCCCGGGTTGTGCGAGCCACCCTACTCATGTTACACAGGCCACTCACGTTACACCTTCCTGGGCCCCAGAGCTCTTGTGACATCTATCAGGTGCTAGGTAGAAGACTCAGCTGCCGCACAGCCCTAATGAGCGAGGACGGGGGGATTGGGCGCTGGTGCTTTCCTAGAAAATAGAGTGGTAGGAAAGTTGGTATGGGGGGAGGGGGTGAAGATGCTGCTTGAAAGCACAATTAAGGATTATTGGTGTATTTTTTTTTTTACTTGTGCCTGATTAGTTTTGCTCCCCCTCTTCCTTCGTGTCTGCTGAGAAAGAATTTCCTGCCCAATCACACATGTTTATGAAACTCTAACCAAGTGCCGGACACCATGGGAGGTGTTTGTGGGGCTCCTGTGTTGGGCAGGAAGCCCAGGTTCCGGTCCTGTGGTCCTTACGGACAAGGAAGGTGAATCACCCGGTATCAGAGGATTCACACGCGCTGCCAACTTGACAATTTCCTGGGTAAATTTGAACGCTTCTTTCCAACTCCAGGACAGGCTAATTCATGCATTTCCCCCTGGTTGATAAAGGGATCAAAAGGAATCTGTCTGGGATAAAGAGATTCGGTGCCTGGCTGTGAATCTGTGCCCCCGTGTTATGGCTGTGGCATCCTGATGCCCGGGGCTAGGCGAGCCGCGTCCGGCCAGACTGAATGGCTCCGGTTACGAACATCTCCCTGCCATAAATATTCTGCAGCTCACAGTGTAGCCAGCTCAGCAGACATGGCTGACTGCTCTCAAAGCTGACCACACTTTCCTGCCTGCCCATACTCCTGCTTCCCTCCCTGCAAAGCAGGTAGCCCACTGGACTGGGGCCAGGGCTGCTCGCCGGGCAGAGAAGCATCTAGACTTTGTCGATGCTGAGATCTGGAGCCTGTGGAAATGAGGGAGAAGAGGACGCTGTCCTCCCATTTTAGTGCAGGGAGGATGAAAAGATAAGAACAGGCTTCCCAACACGGATGGGGTAGACCTTCACGTGGGTGACAGGAAGGTCCCTCAAATTCCTCATGCCCCCTGTTACCCCCACCAACGTCTAACAATCTCTGGTTGTCTTTCACAGAAAGACCTTCTGCTATTATCTTGTAGGCAGTTAACACAATCTGTATACATACATGGTAGGCAGAAAATACTCTAGAACCTTCTTTGGACCACATGGGTTTTGACTTTGAAAAGACATGTCTGGGGTAGTTCCTTGTAGTCAACCACAGGTTAATTCCATCTTTTTTTTTTTTTTTCTAAGTTGAATAATCCATTTGAGGAAATCCATTTTATTTTGTTTTGTTTTGTTTTTAATGTTTATCATGTATTTTTGAGAGGGGGAGAGTGTGAGTGTGGGAGGAGCAGATAGAGAGGGGGACAGAGGATCTGAAGCAGGTTCTGCACTGGCGGCAGCAAGACTGAGGCAAAGCTTGAACTCACGTATCGTGAGTGAGATCATGCCTTGAGCCGAAGTCAGACACTCAACCACCTGAGCCACCCAGGCACCCCTAATTCCATCTTTTTGAAAGGCAGCTGCTTTTGCATGATTTCTAGTGATTTTAGTAAACACCTGCAGGGGAGACTGCTCACATAGCACTCAGAAGCCACAGAATGCTGTGGTTCCAATCCAGAATCACAGAATCCAGTTCCGTAGAGTGATAACTGTCTTCCACGTCGCCGTGGGAGAATCAGAGACAGTCTTACCTGGGTCAGGTCCATGGCACCAGCTGATGGTAGCTTAACGGCTCAGTCTCTTTCCTCACCTATGGAATCCCAACCCTGTAGGTCATTGGACCACAGTCAATAAAAATATGAAAATATTTTATAAACTCTAGCACAGGGATACCAATATCAGTGATCTATTTGAATCCCCTCATTTGCCAGAAGAGAAGCCAGAGGCTGGGAGGTAGGAAATTTTTATGTTCACACTTTCCTAAGTCTTAGTTCGATCTCTTTTGCTAGAATACAAACCCACTGAGAACCAGATGCCTTTTATTCTTATGTCCCTCACAGCAGCTAACCTGTGCGAAAGTGACTACTCATTAGAGAAAATGCTGATCTCAGGAAAACACTAAAGGTGTTTCTCATGACTGGCCCTAGGTTCAGGAAAAAAGACCTATTGAGACTCCAAGATTTTTGGTGGAAGCCACCAGTTTTTTGGTACCAAGCTAATCTCTAATCTGAAGTACCTTAACAATACTCAGTAAATCCTTGGATGCAATGGGAAGAATCCAGGTGGCGTTTGATGCCACACTTGATACAGGGACATCTGAAGGATAGGAGAACTTTATTTCCTAGGACTTTGGTAAAGTCAGCCTGTCAAGAAAATTTAAGATGATGTTAGATTAATACATGAATCATAAATCCATAATGGATCATTAGCGTGATAGAGTATTGAGTGTGCATTCCTTGAGTTAAAGAAAAATGTCTCTGGTGTAAAAATTATCCTGCTTCCTCAAAAAGCATCCGTTGGAATCAATGTCAGAGATCATGGTAGACTGAACTGTGCGATTGTCTCTATTTCCAGAAGACGACTGTGCCTAGTGAGCCACAGATGTTATTGGAGTATACACGTTAGGTTATGGGCGGAAGGAATGGAATAGCGCCACCAGCCTACAAACGCGTCAAGGTTCACTGAGCCATGAGGCCTCTGCAGTACCTAAACTAGCTCTTTTTTTTTTTTTTTAATCTTTATTTTTGAGAGAGAGACAGAGTGTGAACAGGGAAGGAACAGAAAGAGAGAGGGAGACACAGAATCCGAAGCAGACTCCAGGCTCCGAGCTGTCAGCACAGAGCCTGATGCGGGGCTCGACTCACGAACTGTGAGACCATGACCAGAGCCAAAGTTGGACGCTTCACCAGCTAAGCCCCCCAGGCACTCCTCTAAACTTGCTCTTGAGAGGTCAGACGAACTTGGGAGGACGTGGTGCTGGTTCTTTTTGTT